GTGCAGAGGCTGCACGCTCGGCGCCGGAGGCGGCAGCAGCAACGGCTGAAGTGCCAACTCCGGCAGATAAGGTTCCATCGCCATCGCGCGTAGGGTTTAGGGTTTAGGGTTTAGGGTTTATAGGGTTTAGGGTTTAGGGTTTAGGGTTTAGGGTTTAGGGTTTAGGGTTTAGGGTTTAGGGTTTAGGGTTTAGGGTTTAGGGTTTAGGGTTTAGGGTTGTGGCATTTGCGTGGTCCTGCCTCCTAGGAGGCATACACCGCTGCATCACGTGAGCCTCCCGGCATGTGTCAAAGGTGTGCTTTAGTTTGAGGGAACGCTATGCATCTCAGATCGCTTCGAACCGTGAACCCTAAACCCTAAACCCTAAGCCCTAAACCCTAAACCCTAAGCCCTAAGCCCTAAGCCCTAAACCCTAAACCCTAAACCCTAAGCCCTAAACCCTAAACCCTAAACCCTAAACCCTAAACCCTAAACCCTAAATGCCATGCCCGAAACCGTGACTAGCAGGCCCACTGCTCTTGAGAGCCGAAGCACAGCTTCGGATGAGAGCGGCCCACGTCTCCTGATAGCCTTCTCCCTCAAGGCCCAGGTTTTTGGAGTTCTGGGAGTTGGGTTTAGGGTTTAGGGTTTAGGGTTTAGGGTTTAGGGTTTAGGGTTTAGGGTTTAGGGTTTAGGGTTTAGGGTTTCGGGCTCAGGGTTCTAAACGCTGGGGGTCAAAAGACCTACACCCTATAGCTTTGTGATGCCGACGACATGCCCTCAGCCCTAGACCCCAGACCCCTAAACCCGTAAACCCGCAAACCCCTTAACCTCTAAACCCCCAACCCCCAACCCCTGAACCCCCCAAACCCTAAACCCCCAAACCCTAAATCCCTAAACCCGAAATCCCCAAACCCTAAACCCTAAACCCTAAACCCCCAAACCCGAAATCCCCAAACCCTAAACCCCTAAACCCTTGCCGTAAGTCGCCCGCATACATTGCTGCCGGGCCGGCAAAGCCTCGCTGGAGGCTGCTGGACTGGGAGGTGTTGTATAGGGTTTAGGGTTTAGGGTTTAGGGTTTAGGGTTTAGGGACTTAGGGCTTTAGGGTTTTAGGGCTTCAGGCTTTAGGGTTTGAGGGTTCAAGGTTTGGGGTTTGAGGGTTCAGGGTTTAATTGAGGGTGTGGGGCTCGCAAGCGGACTCTCGACAGCCAGGGGCATCTAAATTGGCGCGCCTCTGCGGGATCTCTTTAAACTTAGGGTTTAAGGTTTAGGGTTTAGGGCTTAGGGTTGCATGTTCTTGGTCACTTAGGGCGGTATAGGGTTCAGGGTTTCGGGTATTTGGGATGGTCTGGGCTTCTGAAATGCCGACACTGACCCCCATACAATCAAACGGCAGGTGCCCTACACCCTAAGCCTCAAAAACCCCCAATACCCCTAAACCCTAAACCCCGAATACCCCCAAGCCCAATACTCCTACACCCTAAACCCCGAATACCCCCAAACCCCAATACTCTTAAACCCTGAAAACCCCCAAACCCTAAGCAATCCCAGGAGCTTTGATCCCAAAAGACCCCACCCCGAATCCCAGAGTTCCTAGGACCCAACCCTAAACCCTAAACCCGAAACCCTAAACCCTAAACCCGAAACCCTAAACCCGAAACCCTAAACCCTAAACCTTGAACCCTAAATCCTAAACCAAGTCCCTGGAACCTGAGTCTCCCAACCCCAAGAGCTCTTTCGGGTTTAGGGCTCTAACCCTAAATCCTTTTGGCTTTAAGGCTTAAACCCCTAAACCCTACAGGGTTTAGGGTTTGGGGTTTAGGGTTTAGGCCTACATGCGAACTTTGTTACGAAAGGATGAGGCCGCCACTCGCCACTTCCCGGCCGGCACCCAAAACAATGGACGGCTGCTCCGCTCTCGGGCTCAGTCTGGTTTGTGAAGATGTCTGTGAGGGGGGCTTTGTGGCACCTGCTCGCAACCCAGCCAGAATACACTTCGCTGCCTTTTTTGTGATTTTGTACAGTGATCCCATGAATCGGGGTGTCGGTACGAAATGTGGCCGCAACGGCTGTTGTTGCTGCTGGCTGTTGTTGCAGATCAGGTTGGTCCAGCATTCTCACGCGAGTTCGGGCGTCACTTTCAATTGCACTGTCTAGGGTTTTTTGTGCGTGTAGTTCAACGGTCAGCTGAGCCTAGAGTGGGCCAAACGGAGAATGCACCACGGGATGGTCATGGTATGCCACCACTCTGCTCTCCACGAAACGGTGAAGATGATGCGAAGGGTTTTTTCTTACTTGTAACCCCCAAGAGGACACCCAACACACTCACCAACATTTACGAGGAACCCTAAGTACACTCACCAATAACAGCAGTATAAGCCTACTGTTATATGGGGGTTTCCGAAACCTTATTGAGGTCCCGATTTTCAGGGAATCCTACTATTTGGAGGTCTCCCTCTTTTCGGAAGCCCTAAACCCTAAACCCTAAACCCTAAACCCTAAACCCTAAACCCTAAACCCTAAACCCTAAACTCTGCACCCTAACCCTAAACCCTTATAGCTTGCCTTGACTTTACATGCCGCACCGGCTCGGAATGCTGGTTTTGCACCCAGGCATGCTGAGTACAACACTTGCGAGGCACCCCCAGCTGGCAGCCAGAAAAGAATTCCCCCCAACCCTAAACTTCAGACCCCTGAGTCTTAAACCCGAAAACCGTAAACTAAACCCTGAACTCCATAACCCTATAAACTTTATAACCCCAAACCCTGAACCCTATAACCCTAAACCCCTGAACCCTACACGCGCGTGCTTTTCTGAACCTCACGTGGCAGAAACCCGAACGTCGTAGGTGCTGGTCTGTGGACAGCTCGCGTCCTTGTGCCATCTTCGTGGGGGGGGGGGGGGGGGGGGGGGGGGGGGGGGGGGGGGGGGGGGGTGCATCCCGGCACTGGTGCGTTTAGGGATGCTTAGGGATGCTTAGGGTTTAGGGATTAGGGTTTAGGGCTGCGGGATGTTTAGGGTTTAGCGTTTTGGAGGGTCTGGGGGCGTTGGCTGCTGGGAGACTTTTGCCTGCGCTGCACTGGAGGGGGGGAAGGGGGGAGGGGGCGGTCCTTCTGTTCCCGCCACCGGGCAAAAGCATCCCCGCGCGTCGGACAGGCAGCCTGGTCCAGGAGCCAAGTCGTCTCTTAACTTGGCTGCACTTAGCAGGGTACCTATAAATTTGATTTTTAGCTAGCTTGTTAAGAAACCCAATAAACCCAAAAAGGCTGAGGATCTAAAGCTACAGTAAAGCACCACAGAGTTAAGCACGATACCTTTTCGGCCTTTTATGGATTTAGGGGATTTGTGGGGTTTAAGGGTTCAAGGAGTTTAAGGGGTTTAAGGAGTTTAAGGGGGTTAGGGGGCTTAGGGCTTAGGCTTGAGGGCAGCCCTATAGGCCCGGGGAATCCTAATCCAAAAATGATTGCCACCATCAACCAGAAAATCCGCAGGGCCAGCGCATGACACCCATGGCCCAAGTGTCACACGACGTGGGCTGTTGGCTCTTTGCTGCATTTGTATAAGGCGCGTCTGCCACTTTCCTTTTGTCTCTCTGCAGTTCAAGTCAGGTCTCACAGGGGTAGGAGACTGGACACATGCCAAGACACGCAGTGAATGCACTGATTTTTTCGGGAAGGTCGCGGAACCGAACCGGAACCGCTGAACCGAACCGCTCACGAACCGAACTGCAGGAAACGGTGACTACAGCGAACCGCAGGAAACGGCCGAACCGGAACCGATGTATGTGTTTGTGTTGTCTCTCTCTCCCTCTCTGTCTCTCTCTCTCTTCTTCTTCTTCTTCTTCTTCTTCTTCTTCTTCTTCTTCTTCTTCTTCTTCTTCTTCTTCTTCTTCTTTTACGGGGCATGAGGGGAGTAGGAACCCGCCCCGCGCGCGGAGCGCGCCCAGACCGTCTCCAAGGTCTGTGTGACACCAACTCGGTCGAGGCCGCGGGTATTTGATGCACAATCCTCCCATCCCCTCTCTCTCTCTCTCTCTCTGTCTCTCTGTCTCTCTGTGCCTCTCTCTCTCTCTCTCTCTGTCTCTCTCTGTCTCTCTCTGTCTCTCTCTGTCTCTCTCTGTCGCTTTTTTGTCTCTCTCTGTCTCTCCACCCCTCCAGCCAGCCGCCCACGCCTCCAGCTACTCCCCTCCACTCTCTCCAGCCACCCCTCAGCCACCAGCCCTCCAGCCACCCACCCCGCCAGCCACAGTCGGGCTGGAGGGTGGCTGGAGAGAGAGGTGGGTGGCTGGAGGGGCGTGGTGGGTGGCTGGAGAGTGGCTGGAGGGGGGTGGGTGCTTCACAGAACACTTGACTTCACACAGGGCGGACAAACACTCACCTGACCCGTCTGTGGCCAGCTCAGCTGGCAGCTGCGTCCAGCCCCAGCTTGCGGAACAACCGCGAAGGGATGCCACTAAAGAACCGCGAAGAACCGCGAACCGCACAGAACCGAACAGTCCCCGAACCGAACCGCCCGGAAACGCCCCATGTGCGAACAGAAACGAACCGAATGGAACCGTGTACTTCCTGTTTTTTGCATGGATGGCAACGCAAGACGTTTTTTCGACCTTTCTGGCAGACGCAGCACATCCGCTGTGACGCACACGGGGCGTGTGCATGTCTTGCGGACATCCAGATTTGCGGAAATGCGAGGTCGAACTTCGACCACAGCAACCGAAGCCCTGAAACTTTCGACTAACCACTGCAGGCCATGCACTGCCCAAGTGAAAAAAGAGGACAAAAAAAAACACTCCTTCATGCCCCAACCGTCCGACGCCTATCAGGCGCAGGGCCAACCACTGAATCCCTACAAGTAAGCGCGATAAGCCCAACAAACCCTACTATGAACCCTCTATACCGCCCCATAAAACCCTAATTAGTAAAAAAAACACCCAATAAAACCCTATAATCCCCATAAACCCCTCTTAAAACCTGTAAACTCTGCAACAACCTCCCTCGCCGGCCTCTGCAACCCTGCATCAGCCGTTCAATGTCAGGCCGTCCCACAGGCAGCTCTCGAAGAAGCCGCTGTCCCCGCGCTTTGCCGAGCGTGCGGCCTGGAGGACGGAAGGAGTCTGCTTCCTCGGGCCATCCCCTGTTTTCCCTCCTCCAGGGGGTTAACACCTTGACCCGAAAGAATTGGTACTCCTGGGCCCGAGTCTGCCAGGGCACGGGCACAGAAGCCCGATGTTTTTGCGGCCTTCCTCCCTCAGCCCCTGGTACGGCCCCCAACACCCTGAACACCCTGACCTGAAAACTCTAAACCCTAAACCCTAAACCCTAGACCCTAAACTCTAAACCAACACCCGAAACTCCCATGTGAGGGAACCTTCGCCGTGCGCCACAGGCACTGCAAAGTCTCCAGGTTCGCCTGCCGTCTAGGAAGTGAGCGGGTTTAGGGTTTATAGGGTTTAGGGTTTAGGGTTTAGGGTCTAGGGTTTAGGGTCTAGGGTCTAGGGTTTAGGGTTTAGGGTTTAGGGTTTAGGGTTTAGGGTTTAGGGTTTAGGGTTTAGGGTTTAGGGTTTAGGGTTTAGGTTTCAGGGCTTAGGCTTCAGGCTTCAGGGCTTCAAGGGGATCCTTTGCTAGGAAGGTCCCTGTGTGATTCAAGAATATAGCATTTTGGGGACTATCCGGGATGCCCTATCTGGCTTAGGGCGGTTTAGGGTGTATAAGGTTTATTGGCTTCCAGGCTTCTAGGGTTCAATCCCTACACCCTAAATGTAACCCCTGAACCCTAAACAGGGTTTCTCGAGCCCATCGTACGATGGGCCTGGAAGAAACCTGGCTCGTGGTAGTGAATGTTGTGCTTCTTGCACACCTCTTTCACAAGCTTCCGAGCTTCGCCTCGGCGGGTTTAGGGTTTCGGGTTTAGGGGCCTCGGTGGGTTTAGTTTAGGGTTTAAGGTTTAGGGTTCGGGGCTTAGTTCTTCCGTTCCGTGGGTAGTACCGACCCAGGGGCTCCCCTTTTTGCAATGCAAGGCCGGGCCCCAGAAGCTTGCGAGGCTTTAGGGGGTATAGGGTTTAGGGTTTAGGGTTTAGGGGTCATGACTTTAAGGCAGGGACCAGAGGGTTCATTCGATGTGGGTCGGCTTGCGCATGCTTGCGCCATCGAGGTGTGGGAGGGCTTAAGCCTCGGCCCTCTAGTGTAGGGGGGGGGGCCTAGGACTTGAGTTGAGGGGTTTAGGGGGGGGGGGGGGGGGGGATTTTCAGGGTTGAGGGTTAGGGTTGCGGTTTGAGGGTTAAGGATTTCCCAGGGTTCAGGGATCCCAGCATTCAGGGATCCGGGGTCTCCCCCAGATGGCAATATGGGAGCCTTACTAATTAGAACAGGGCTTTTGAGGGTCATTCTAGTATAATTACAAAGGGACCATACTTAAGGGATTGCTATTCGTAATTATCCCTAAACCCTAAACCCTAAACCCCAAACCCTAAACCCGAAACCCTAAACCCCTATAGTACACTGCGCCGAGAGGCGGAGATTGTGACGAGGAAGGCGCGGAAAAAGGTGATGCTCGATCTGAAACTGGAGACCAATGTGCACCCAGTCCAGCCTCCGAGATGCTCCAAACAGCATTATGTGGGTTTAGGGTTTAGGGTTTAGGGTTTCGGGTTTAGGGCTTAGGGTTTAGGGTTTAGGGCATGTGGTGGGTGAGGTTAAGGCTTGGGAGTTTGGGCCTTTGGAGCTCTAATTGGGCTTGCAGGGAATGACGACACCGAATGCTGCAAAGGAGCACTGGCGGCGTGTCAAAGTTCATGGTGGTCTTCAGCTGCGTAATGTACCACTCGTCGTCTGCTCCATTGTAGGCCTAAAATTGCTGCCACGACACAGGGGTTAGGGTTTACGGGTTGAGGGTCTAGGGTTTAGGGTAAAACGACTTGCAGCAGGCCCCACACCCATGGCGCTGAGGGGTCGGCGTGACCGTGGTAGGTTTCCATCGAGAAGTGCGAGCAGCAGATTTGGACCTCGAAACATCTATCCGCTCACTTTGCATCTGCCGCTCGCTCCCTACCCAAAATCCCCCCAAAATCCCCTACCCAAGAACCCTAATCCCACCACAGCGTCAAAACTCGAGACAAAGCCCAGGTCAGGGCTTCCCCAAAAGGGTGCCCACTTTCCGAAACCCCTAAACCCTTCACCCTAAACCCTAAACCCCAGATCGTGAAGGGAGTGAACAGGAAGGCTGGGACACTGACATGCAGCAAGCCAGACATTGCATGGCTCACCAGAAGCCACCCGAACCTGTCGGGTTTGGGGGGTTGGGGGTTTCGGGTTATGGGGTTTGGGGTTATGGGCTTAGGGTCAGGGCTTAGGGCTTAGGGCTTAGGGCTTAGGGCTTAGGGCTTAGGGTTTAGGGTTTAGGGTTTAGGGTTTGGGGTTTGGGGTTTGGGGTTTGGGGTTTGGGGTTTGGGGTTTGGGGTTTGGGGTTTGGTGTTTGGGCTTTGGGGTTTAGGGCTACGGGGCTTCGGGATCGAAGCTCGCGCACGCTGCGGCCAGCTGAGAGAAGCTCTCGGGTGCGGGTGCGTGTGGGTCTACGGGGCGCAATAGGGTCCATCCGCTCCAAGCAAGGGTTTTCGGATTCTCCCCCCTGATCCTAACAGTCATTTGAGAGGGATTACAAAAGGGGGGGGGGGGGGGGTACGGTAATCCCTGAAAAAGGACTGTTAGCATAAGTGGGAACCCTAAACCCTAAACCCTAAACCCTAAACCCTAAACTCTAAACCCTAAACCCTAAACCCTAAACCCTAAACCCTAAACCCTAAACCTAAACCCTAAACCCAAACCGGGGATGCAGAATGAGGAGCATCTCAGACCACGTCGGCAGGGACAAGACGAGGCTTCCGATCCAGGTGAAGTAGACGGCAAAGGCGCACAGCTCCGTCTTTCCTTGGCCGGAATCTGGGATGTTCGGATGTTCCCCCGTATAACTAAGAGTCCTTAATGAGGATTAGAGTACCCCCCCTGCTATAATCCCTAGTAAGGACTGTTAGGATAGGGGGGGGGGGGGACATCCCAAGCCGGAATGCAAGTTCACCCTGGAAAAAAAAGTTCGACTCCTAACCTAAACCCTACAAACATCACGACATTGAAAGTCTTTCATCTTGCTGGACGTTGCATCCGAGCTGCTGTAGTGCAGAGGCTCCTGGATGCATTAGTCTTAGGGTGGTTGCATGGTCCACCCTTGCCCCTTCTCTGCCCTATGAAACCCAAGGGCCATCGGATATGGATGTATCTCCCGGGCGTCCCCCGAATAGACACAGCATTACGCCCATTTTCGGAAACCCGCCCCCCCCCCCCCCCCCCACAGTCCGAGTTAAGTCAGAGATGCCCAGACAGGAAAGAGGCCAGCCTTGCAGCAGAGCTGGATGAGGGATTGCGCGTAGAGGTTGAACCGCGCGACCATCATGATCCTTGCTGGCGCCAACGTTTCACTACATGGGGGTTTGCGAAGATAAGGGACCTCCAATATATACCCCCAAGCACCAGGATTCCCTTATAAAAATGACCATTAAGGACCCCAATAAGGTAACCCTAGGTTCGGAAACCTCCACATGGGCGGATATGGGCTGCGGGTGTTGAGGGACAGGGCTTCGTTCTTTCTTCGGTTTCCGCTCAACTCGAAAACCCAGAGACATCGTGCAGAAACCTCCCCCCTGGTTCTTAGTAGGGAATGAGGGCAGTAGCGCCCGATATATACCCTTTGAGGGAGTATACAGGGTACCTCATTCCCTCATTCCCTACTAAGAGCCAGCCAGAGAAGCCTCTGTTCAGCCAGGTTGAGGGATTGAGGGGGCTTGCGAAATAGGATGCGGTGCAAACGCTCGAGAACTAAGCCGCCAAGTACGGACGGAAGCCACAACTCTTACACCGGGAGCCGCAGACCCTAAACGCCGAAACACCTAAAAACCCCTAACCCCTTAACCCCTAAACCCCTGAACCTCCTAAACCCCTAAACCCCTAAACCCCTAAACCCCTAAACCCCTAAACCCCTAAACCCCTAAACCTCCTAAACCTCCTAAACCCCTAAACCCCTAAACCCCTAAACCTCTAAACCCCTAAACACCTAAACCCCCTAGACCCCTAAACCCCTAGAGGCACTGCAGGTGCAGCGTCGGGTAGAAAAAGATGTGCTCGTAGCTGACCATGAACTTGGTGATTCGGTCCATGGCCTTGAGCTCGTTGTAGTACGTACTCCAGAACCTGGGTGTAGGGTTTAAGGTTTAGGGTTTAGGGTTTAGGGCTTAGGGCTTCGGGGCTCGGAGTTGAGGAGGATTTCGGGCTTGGGGGTTTTTGGGGTTTTGGAGCTCGGCCGGAGGTTTCGTCTCGGCTTAAGGCTGTTGTTGGCATCTGGAAGAAGCCGAAAACAAAGGAAAGGACTGGGACCCCCCTTGAAAACCCCATGGAACCGGAGATTCTACGAGACAAACCCCAAGGACCTGGTGGGAATTTTGGGAAGCTGTCTGGCCGCAGGACCACTGCGTCTAGGGTTTAGGGTTTGGGTTAAGGGTTTAGGTTGCTGGCGGCTGGCAAACCCTGCACCCTAAACCCTAAACCCTAAACCCTAAACCCTTTCTTGGCAGCTCACACCGCACCACCCCCAGCCCCCAACTAAGCACTGACGGCTTGGGCACCCCCCCTTTGCGACGCCCTTTAAGACGAAACCCAAACCCGAAACCCTAAACACCGGATGGGATGTCGACGGAGCCGAATTTCCCTAAACCCACGGCTGTTTCTAGTCGTGTAGGGTTTTATAAGGGTGTTACATAACCGGTCATGAAGGATTCAGAATAGGTTCCTGCAATGTTTTATATGGCCAGTTCCTCAAAATGAGGGTACCCCAAATAGGCCAGATAATTTGGGTTCAGGGTTTAGGGTTTAGGGTTTCGGGTCAGACCCTAAACCCTAAACCCTAAACCCTAAACCCTAAACCCTAAACCCTAAACCCTAAACCCTAAACCCTAAACCCTAGGGAACCAGGCCAAGGGGCGGCTTCTTGAAGATCTCTGGCGTCACAGCAAAGGCCGGCATGTGCTGAATATCAGGATCGTGCCTTGGCACCGAGACAGCGAGGTGAGAAAAGAGCAACGGGAGGGCTTCGGGAAGTTTAGGGTTTAGGGTTTAGGGTTTGGGGTTTGGGGTTTGGGGTTTGGGTTTTTTTGTGTCGGGTTTGGTGTTTAGGGTTGAAAAATTTAGGGGTTAGGGTTTGGGATAAACAAACTGCGTGCAAGCCACTCGATGGAATTGCAGACTATATGGTGCGTATTGTGGTTGCGCTTCCACCAGCACACGGAAATGCCCATGAAGCACACGAGCATCGAGCAGACTGAGTGATCCTGGGCTGGATTTTCCACTCCTCCTAAAACCCAAACGCCTGTAAATAGAGGGGTTAGGGTTTAGGGTTTAGGGTTTAGGGTTTAGGGTTTAGGGTTTAGGGTTTAGGGTTTAGGGTTTAGGGTTTAGGGTTTAGGGTTTAGGGTTTCGGGTTTAGGAAGCGCCCGAGGTTCTAAGTGGAACTTGTGGGTGATGCCGCTGTGACCCATGTCGTGACCTATTCCAGCCAACTGCTGCCAGAACAGGCCCATGACCTTGGCAGCCAGAACAGGAGAAGCAGCTCATCACGACCCCTAAACCCTAAACCCTAAACCCTAAACCCTAAAGCTCAGGTTCCGAGCTCCTTGCAGCTGCACCTACCATGTGTGCTGTCGCAGAGGCGCAGCCTGGAACAGCAAGGGCCACGGAGAAGGCAGGAAAAGCTCTAGGGTTTAGGGTTTAGGGTTTAGGGTTTCATTTCGAGTTTTGGGTTTAGGCTTAAGGATCGAAGTAGGGCTTAAGATTTAGGGTTCAGGGCTTAGGCTGAAGTATCGAAGTAGGGCTTAAGGTTCAGTGTTTAGGGTTTAGGGGGGCTTTTGTTGAGGGCCAAAACCCTAAACCCTAAACTCTAAACCCTAAACCGTAAACCCCCAACCCTAAGAACCCAAAACCCTGTAGGCCAAGAGTCGCCCAGCACTAGTCCCGGCTGAGGAGGCTCAACTCTTAGGCGCTGCGACAGGGGTTTAGGGTTTAGGGGTTTAGGGTTTTAGGGTGTTAGGGTCTAGGGTTTCGGGTGCAGGGTCGGGGGTTTCGGGTTTGGGGTTTCAGGAACAAAAGGCATTGTGGCTCGAGTTTGGCTTATTGTTTTAGTGCAACATCTGCTTCCCCACCCTAAACCCTGAAACCACGCTGGCACCCGGCCTAGAGACAGGTACAGGGACAGGAGGAAAAGGGACACGAGCCTTGGTCGCAACTGCATGTCGCACAGCTTTTCGTCTACGGTAGCGCTCCACGTCAGCCATTTTGAAAGGTACCCACAAGGGGACCCTGATTCAGAGCATGTGTGACCTGCACGACTGCATCCTCAAGTCCTTGAGTACCGAAGTTCAGGGCTCTTAAGAACCCCCCCCCCCAAAAAACACATAATATGCTTCCTTAGTGTTGCCATTTCACGGACTCTAAACCCTAAACCCTAAACCCTCAAGGCCAGGATAAATAGAAATCATATTAGGGAATCTTGATCTTCTGTTATTTTGGTGGTTCTTAAGCCAAAGTAGTAGGGTTTCGGGCTTAGAGCCTTAGCCCTGCAGCCATCCCTTCCTTATCCTGGTTTAGGGTTTAGGGTTTAGGGTTTAGGGTTTAGGGTCCTGCCACTCTCAGGCAGCGGCCACGCTGCCATCTTGGCGTAGAAGCGCATGTCCTGCACGACTTGGAGGTTCATGGTACTTATTAACCAATCTTATAGGGTTTAGGGTTTAGGGTTTAGGGTTTAGGGTTTAGGGTTTGAGGTTTCTTATAACTGTACTCATAACCACATTGGGGCACTTAAAGGGCTCATAAGTGAGAGATCCCGGTTTCACGTTGGCACGACAACATAAGCCCCCCCTTTCGACACCAAACCCCCCCCCCCCCCCCCACCCCCCCCCCACCCCCCCCCACCACCCCCAACCCCCCCCCACCCCCCCCTACCCCGCCCCCCCCCCCCCCACCCCCCACTTAGCAAACAGCACCCGCTCAGAAGGACGCGGAGGGGAGGGGGGGCCGGGGGGGGGGGGGGGGAAAACTGGAGCATCTAACTATAAGTGGGTTAGAAGTACAGTTATGATTGGTGAACAAGTACCATGAACCTCCCAGTAGCCAAGCCTGGTGCAAGCCGCAGTTGAGGGAGCACCCTACAAGGAACGTCCCTGCGAGACCGAAACCCTAAACCCTAAACCCTAAACCCTAAACCCTAAATGCCCTTACATCTTTGAGCCTACGGAGGCCGTGTCATCACGCCCTTCAGTAACCCAACGATCTGAGAGCCCGAAGAAACCCTCTGAGGGCCCCAAACTACCGGAAACCCTCAGCCCACTAGCCCTAAACCCTAAACCCAACTAACCGTTACTAACCCTAAACCCTAAACCCTAAACCCCACCACTAGCCCTACTACTACTAACCCTACGAACCCTAAAAGCCCCATCGCAGAGAGCGCGGCGCACCGTCTCGAAGAGCCCGCGGCGAAGGAGCTCCTGGCGGATGGCCCGGAAGTCCTGCAAGCCCCAGACTGCACGGTTTATGAGGGTTTGTGAGGGTTCTACAAGATTCTCGATAAGGGTAAATCAGAGTCTTTCAGGGTATATCAGGGTATTTAAGGGTATATCAGGGTTTTCAGGGCTTGTAAGGGTTTACAGGGGTTTCCAAGGGTTTCTGAGGGTTTCTAGGGGTTTCTAAGGGTTTAGAAGGGTTGACAAGGGTTTCTAAGGGTTTTTAAGGGTTTCAGGGTGTAAGGGTTGCAAGATTTCAGGGTCTTGAGGGTTTAGGGTCTGGAGGCTTTTGGGGAGTGCAGATTTTGAGGGTCGTGCTCAGGGCCCAATTGTGGGCCCGTAAATCTAGGTCCAACTGTACCTATCTCATGTTAGACCCTGTCCTTACTCATTTTGTATCCAACACATGTATAGACAATATGGACATGTGAACATGTGAACCAAGATCATGTTGCACCTGGTTTTGTGGAGCCACCCTCATAATAATCACAAGCTTCCTGAAATTATTGCGCGTACTCAGTTTGCCAGTCAGGGTCCTGGACGTGCGGAGGCACCTCCACGTCCGTGGCCTTCCGTGAGGGCTGGGACTTCGCTAAACCCTAAACCCTAAACCCTAAACCCTGAACCCTGAACCCTGAACCCTAAACCCTAAACCCTAAACCCACCCTAAACAAACGACCCACCTCGCCGATGAGCATGGGAGGCCTCAGTGCAGGATTCTTGCACACTCCCCTGGCCCACCCGGCCACAGTCCTTTCCCCAGGCTGCAGTTGAAAGCTCCTGAGTGGCTCCTGGAATCGTTCAGGGATTTCGGGTTTAGGGTTTAGGGCTAGGGGGTTTAGGGTTTAGGGTTTAGGGTTTAGGGTTTAGGGCTTAGGGTTTAGGGTTTAGGGTTTAGGCGACCACGACTCTTGTCAAAATCCTGGCTCATGGGGCTGAATCAAGATTCCGGCAGCAAGTGCTTGTACACCCTCGACGTGTGGTAGTTCGCAAAGGCATCCGTGCCTCAAATCGCCAGACAGGTGCCAGACTGATGGGCTGAATCCCGAAACCCTAAACCCTAAACCCTAAACCCTAAACCCTAAAAAGCTAAAAAGGATTAACCTTTGGTCTGAGGTTTGGTTGCGGGTGGAGGGTTCGCTTCAGTGTGCAGCCGTTGCCGCTGCCAAGCGCCTGTTTTCCATCATGCTGCAAGTAACTCGTAGACACTCCAGGCCACGGGTATAGGGTTTCGGGTTGAGGGTGAAGGGTTTAGGGTTTAGGGTTGCTCTGGCAGGCATGGGAACTGTTTGAGCCGCCGCCAATTTGGAGCACAGACACCGACCTCTCAAGAAACCCTGAATGTCGAGGTTGCTCGGCGATGTCACAGTGGCGAACCCGGCCTCTACTGGTGGGATTCGGGCTTGGAACGTGGCGCACGAGGCCCGCGCAATCTTTTCCGGCCATGTTCTGGATCATCAGATGACCCCCGGGATGTTTGTCGATGTACCTCCAGCCGCTATCTCGAACCCTGTGGCATCGCATGCCATCTTGTCGACCACTTACCGTGCATATCTTCGTAGCCGACATTCCCGAAACCAAAGCCCTAGACCCCTGAGCCCACATCCTCAAACCCACTTCCCCGAACCAAGGAACCCTGAACCCCGAAGGCCTAAACCCCGAAAGCCTTGTCAAGTCGTAAACGCGGCCGTCGATGATGACCCAGATGCTTTCTCGAGAGTTGTGCTTCGCCACCTGCGCAAGCACTGCCGAAGAGAAGGTTCAATAGGGATGAGAGGGGTTTAGGGTTTAGGGTTTAGGGTTTAGGGTTTAGGGTTATAGGGCTTAATGCTTAGAGCTCTTTCGAGGGGGGTATGGCTTGAGGCGCTTTTGGTGCTTGAGGGAGTTCGCGCTTAGGGGCTTTGAGTGTTGAGGATTCAACTCCATGCGAGACTTCGTGACTTCGTGTTCGAGAGTCGAAGGCATAGATCGATACACAGTCCTAAAGAACACTAAACCCTAAACCCTAAACCCTAAGGCCCTAAACCCTCAACCCCAAGACCCTAAACTTCAAACCCTACATAAGCTCTAAACCCCAAAACCCTGGCACCAAGCTGGGCTGTGGTCGTGGTGGCCATGTGCGCGCCTCAGCGACGGTGTACTTCTTGAGTTCCTGACTCGCCCACCGGCGTGAAAGAACGTGGCTTCACTTGCAGATTCTCTACTTCTGCGGTTTAGGGTTTAGGGTTCAGGGTTTGGGGTTTTAGGGTTTTAGGGTTTAGGGTTTAGGGTTTAGGGTTTAGGGGAGGTATCCCTCTTTCCCTCATTCCCTCATTCCCGACTTAATCCCTTGAGGGTTATCGGGGGTAGAAGGTACGTAATCCCCTTAGTACTGAAGAGCCGGAAGGTTCATGAATAGAGAACCCTGAGCCGCAGCGATCTCTCTGAAAGCTGGCTAGCGAAGCCTATCAGTTTGGGGTTTAGGGTTAGGGTTTAGGGTTTAGGGTTTAGGGTTTAGGGTTTAGGGTTTAGGGTTTAGGGTTTAGGGTTTAGGGTTTAGGGTTTAGGGTTTAGGGTTTAGGGTTTAGGGTTTAGGGTTTAGGGTTCCAAAGACAGGGGTAGTCCCTACATACCGCAACTACACACCCCTCCGTCCTCTAGACACCCCCAAGTAGGTACCCCACTTGTAACTTTGGGAAAGACCTTAAACCCTAAACCCTAAACCCTAAACCCTAAACCCTAAACCCTACACCCTACACCCTAAACCCTAAACCCCAACCCACATCCCAAGCCACACGGCCTGCTTGCAGTCTGCCCGTGGCTCGGGAATCAGAGGGACCAGCTTGGTCAAGCCATCTTCCTGCCGCTCGGTGGAACCCTAAACCCTAAACCCTAAACCCTAAACCCTAAACCCTAAACCCTAAACCCTAAAACCCTAAACCCTAAACCCTAAACCCAATCGTCACCGGAGTCTTTGGCAGAGGTGCAGAGGTTTAGAACGACTCATTATAGGGATTTAGGGTCATAGGGGCCGATAAGGGTTTCTAAGGGATTTAGGGTCTACAAGGGTTTTGTGGTTCAGGGGTCTCTAGAGGCCTGGTAGCTTTGGGTTTTGCATGTTTGGCAACGTTGGTGGTAGCCATCCGAGGCTTGTTTGGGATGTACTAGACCAATGGAACTAGAAAAATACTACTCATAAAACAACAATCCTTCGTATACTAATCACACATGTAGCGAAGTCAGAATACACTTGTGGTTCTCGTAGTCGTACATGGTCACTTCTACTGGCAGGCATGAGACTTTCGCGGCGCAACACCTTCGCTACCTATGCGCTCCAAACCAGCCGCATCGGAGCCGGTTTTGCTAAGCGTGAACATTGTGTCAAGTTGAATCTCAAAAGCCCAAGCAGCCTCGCGGAAGGTCAAAGTCTTATCCTCGTTCTTCTCCAGCTCTTTGGAACCTCTTCATGACCACGGCGGTGGCACACAACGGGTTCATCGCGGACGCGCATTCTGACCAACGACTCTCTCCACCCACAGGCCTTTGCCAGCGCGTTCCAGCACGCACAACTGAACCTGGCTTGAGTAAACCCTAAACCCTTAAACCCTAAACCCTAAACCCTGAACCCTAAACCCTGGGTTTCGGGACCCAACTCAAAATCACCTGGAAGGGGCTCACAGATCTGAAAAAGCAGCATGGGGTGTGACTTGAAGCGAAGTGGCCGCCAAAGCAGCAGCTGCAGCTGTGGTTCCTGCAGAAGGCGGAAAACTACAGCAAGGCTCCGGGTGGCTAAGGGCTACTTATAGGGCTTAGGGCTACTTCAGGTTTAGGGTTTAGGGTTTAGGGTTTAGGGTTTAGGGTTTAGGGTTTAGGGTTTAGGGTTTAGGGCTACTTCAGGTTTAGGGATTCTTTAGCCCGGCTCCGTCCTACTCGGAGGGTCCGCGCGAGGACGGGCTCGTCCAACGCATCGATTAGCGGCCTTTGCGCAAGTGATGGCTGCTTTGAGTGGTAAAAGGAGGGACCCCTAGAAGGGACCCCTTCTGCATAACCCCATATATATATATATATATATCTACATCTATACAATATATAGTCCCTATATACCTAAGTAGCCCCCCCAAATAACCCCTAAATGACCCCTAAGGTCCCTTTTGAGGGTCCCTCCTTTAGTCCCTTGGCTGTTACTGTGCCGACCTCGGGGACCAAATGAACCTAAAAGGGTTTAAGGCTCATATACCTTAATAGGAGTTGTAGGGTTTAGGGTTCAGGGTTTAGGGTTTAGGGAGTTTGGGATCTCGGACCCCAATTCTTCGGGCTCATTTGGTCCCCCCGGGACGTGAACTCACGACTGCGCGAACGGAGTAAGCTCCCTGCGAGGCACCTGCAGCGCAGGAAGCACAACATCTGCAACCCGAGGGCCCCGACTCCCCCCCCCCCCCAGACCCCAAACCCTAAAGCCTTGCGGTTTAGGGTTAATTAGGGTGTAGGGTGTAGGGTATAGCCCCTTAAACCATCTAAAGCCACAAAAGCCCGAAGACCGACGTCGAGTAAGCCAGCGACTGTACCCGGCAGCTGTTCCAAGGCACCCCGCCTCGGGGCGCGCATTTTTCAAGAGAGGCCGGTTCAGATTTTTGGTTTAGGGTGTAGAGGGCTTTGGGTTCAGGGTGTAGGGTTTGGGGTTTCGGGTGTAGGGTCTTTGGGGGTTCTGGGGAGTCTTAGGGGTTTTGGAGTCGTAGGGTTTTGGGGTTTCGGGGTTTCAGGGTTGTACTTGATGCAACTGAAACGCTAAACCCTAAACCCTAAACTACCTCGTGGAGACCCTTACCCTCTGAAGTAAAGATCGCTGAGTTCAGCGGGAGGGGGTGTAGGGTTTAAGGTTTAGGGCTCTCTGGCACCATCACTGGCCCCCAAGGCCCTGACGAAAATGGAGCCCAACATCGCCAACTGTCTCCACAGGAGTCACCTCGGCAGCTACGCAGAGTCGGACCGGAAAAGGTCCGAAACCCTAAACCCTAAACCCTAACCCCTAACCCCTAAACCCTAAACCCTAAACCCTAAACCCCAAACCCCACCGCTGGTCCAAGACCCTGGCTTCCACAGCAACATCTGCGAGTGGCTGCGAGGTTTGGGCCAAGCTCAGGTGCCGGTTGCTTTGGGGGGGGGGCTTCAGGGGAGTTGGGGTTTAGGGTTTAGGGTTTAGGGTTTAGGGTTTAGGGTTTAGGGTTTAGGGTTTCGGGTTTAGGGTTTCGGGTTTAGGGTTTAGGGTTTAGGGTTTTAGGGCTTTAGGGCTTAGGGTTCAGGAAGCTTTGAAAGCGTTTTGGAGAGGGCGCATGCAGGCAAAGCCCTCAACACTTCGCAGCTCTCCGCCATGTTTCTCCCCTTCAAGAGTCGCCCCAGAAGGTTCCCGCGTCGGCCGCGGGGCGCTTTGGCTCGGACGCTGCCCAGTCCTCCCAGGACCACAGAGTCACGCGACGCCAGGTCGAAGCCCCTCAAACCCCAAAGGCGAAACCCTAAACCCTGAGCCCTCAACCCGTAAGCCCGAAGCCCTAAACCTTAAACCCTAAACCCTAAACCCCAACTCATAACCCCAACCCGCAACCCCAAAGCCTATTCTGAGACAACGCGCATGAAGCGTGGAGTTGACACCGGGCCGTGGCGTGAACAGCACAACCCCCACATAGGCTTCAGGGGTTTTAGGGGGCAGGTACGGCTTCTTGGGATGTGTCGAGCTACCTAAACTACAGCCTTAAACCCTAAACCCTAAACCCTAAACCCTAAACCCTAACCCCTAAACCCTAAACCCTAAACCCCGAGGCCTACATGAGGTAAAGTGTCATCGGTGCCTGGTTCTTCGTCCAGCCTCCGCCGCGCCAGCCTGCAGGAGAGGTACAAGTTTAGGGCATAGGGTTTAGGAGGGTTCGGGTTTAGGGTTTAGGGTTTAGGGTATAGGGTCTAGGGTTTATATAACAATCATTGCTCATCAAAAAACTGTAACCATACGGGTTCAGAAGTAAGTATTCGCAAACAATGCAGAAAACTTGAACATTTGAAATCACTGAGTTTTAAGTACCCTTAAAAATAAACAACAATGTTACCCCCACTAATTATGACAAAGTCTTTGCAGCCAAGTTTGACTTCTCCCACCGCCCTACCCTGGGCAGGCCCGGCTGCCTTCTGGGGTTTAGGGTTTAGGGTTTAGGGTTTACGGTTTAGGGTTTAGGGTTTAATTAGGGGTTAGGGTTTAGGGCGTCTACAATTACCAGTACGGAATGCTGAATATTTTGTGGTTATCGGTACTGTAGGTTTCTTGTAGCTCATGGTATCTCGTACCTACCGGATTGTTCACGGTTCTTAACTTGTAGCTTCCTTCAAGCTGAAGAAAAATGCGAAAAATTGAGGTCGCAGGCCTCGCGTGCGTCCCGCTGATCCCGTGGTCTGGACCTGCAGATGGCTTTCACGTCAAGAAAGCAGGTCCAAACCTCTACCCTACGTTATGGGGCCCTTTTTGGGACCCTAAACTATGACTATACGGAACCTGCCCGAAAAAGGGCCCACGATTGCATTCCTCAGCCAAATCCCCCCCCCCCCAAGTCAAGGCCACTGCGCTGCCGTGGGAGAAGCCTGCAAGCATGCGCGTGCTTGCCCCAGCAAGTACTTGGCACAAAAGTGAAGGCAACAGCTCTTGTGGACCAAGGCACGGCACTTGTACCCGTACTTGCAGCTGCCATTCTTCTGGAACTCCCAGCAAGTTTGCGTACCTGCTCGCGGGGGGGGCGCTTGCTGAAAATGCGCGCGCGCGCGCGCGCGCCATGCGGAGTCGGTGCCCCATAGCGTCTAATGGTCGCACTGGCAGTGGCATGGTTGGCTTCAGCCTGCCAGCTATCACCATCCGGCGTGCTGCACAGAAATGGGGGGTTTCCGAAATTCGGGTACCTTATTGGGGTCCTTATTATTAATAAGGGAATCCTCCTATTTGGGGGGTCTATATTAGGGGTCCTTATTTTCGGAAGCCCCCAAATGACACAAGGGTGTTGGTTCGAGGGCCCGGGCGTTTTCTTTCGCCGTGCCCTGAGACGCTCAGACATCCAAACAGTGCAAGAAGCATGCGCACCACAACGGCAATTTCCGCTGCCTGTCACATGTCTAGGGATGTCTACAGAAATATGCAACGGTGTCGGGGTTCTCGAAGCTGAGAACGCAACCTTCTCCTCCCACCAGTTCTTTCTGTCAGGCTCCTGCAAAGATGCAAAGAGCGAAGCTGGAACCCTGAACACTAAATCCTAAACCCTGGAGACCCACGCACTCCTGGCAATTCTTCGCTGCCACTTGTGGCTTTGCAATCTCAGTTTCTGACACACTGAGACTAATCATGATAATCCTATGACCTAAAAATATTAAATAGTACAAATACAAAAGGGTAACCGCATGCATACTAATACCAATAAACATCGTAGCAACCTGATAACAATGCCAAGATCAATATCAGTATTATTATGAGCATCAACATCGACATCAGTATCAATGACCACGCCAATATCAACATGACACTAGCAGTATCACGAAGATTGCTCTCTTTCAGTGTGCTTCCAAATTGCAATGTGCTGTGAGAGGCCAGAAGAAGGCGTTGAGGATTTCGACATGTTTGGGACTCCGACACTTTAGGGTTCGGGGAGGCTGCGGGGGTTTAGGGTTTAGGGTTTAGGGTTTAGGGTTTAGGGTTTAGGGTTTAGGGTTTAGGGTTTAGGGTTTAGGGTTTAGGGTTTAGGGTTTAGGGTTTAGGGTTTAGGGTTGCGGGTTTCAGGTGACTTGGGCACATGCGAAGCGCACGTTGGGTTCGGAAGCATGGTCTGCACTTGCTCGAGCAGGGTCACCCGCCAAACTCGAATTTCCAAAAACCCTGGAGCCTAGAGCCTAAACCCCGAAACTGTCAATCCTAAACCCTAAACCCTAAGCCCCAATCATGGTGGGCTCCTTCGGCTGCTCCTCCACTTTCCGGTCCCACATCTCCCGCGCCCGGCCTGCCACGAGGCGCACTTCCGAGGGTTTAGAGAGTTTGGGGTTTAGGGCTTGGGAGATTTGAGGTTGTGGACTTGAGAGCCTGGGGGAGGGGGGGCATTTGGGGGGCTGAAGTACAGGGTATATAAGGGGTATATAAGGTGTACACTTTTCAGGGCCCATATTTAGGGACCATGTAACTAGCCTAAGATGAAGGGGCATGGGGACGCGAAGCCCCAAACTTCGGGGCTTCGAGGGTATTGCTTGGCAAGCCCTGGCCTACACCACCTCACCCTTTTCACATCTGAAGCCTAAACCCTAAACCCCAAAACCCTAACCAAACCCCAAACCCTAAACCCTAAACCCCAAACCCTAAACCCCAAACCCCAAACCCTAAACCCTAAATCCTGGCTGAGCTGGGAGTCCGGGCGCTTCCAAGTGCCGTCCTGAGGGAACGTGCCCCGTGAGGGAGCTTAGGGGTTCAGGATGTTTGGAGGCTATAGTGCTTCAAGCGGCTTGGGGTTTAGGGTTTAGGTTGAGGGTTCAGGGCTTAGGGTTTAGGGTATGGGGGCTGTAGGGGCTCAAGCGTCTTGAAGTTCATTTGGGGTTCATAGTTTCGGGTGTAGGAATCAGGAGCCCCACCACCCAGGAATTGCAGTAAGGCGTCTAAACCCTGTACAACCCTAAACCCTAAACCCTAAACCCTAAACCCTAAATCCTAAACCCAAAACCCTAAACCCTAAACCCTATGAACCCCAAACCCTAAACCCGAAATCCTGAACCCTAAACCCTCACGCGAAGGCCTGCCACGGATCGATCTCTTGCACCGGCTCGGCAGGCACCAGGCTCTGGCAGGGGGGACAGGTTCAGGGCGGCCTAAAACCAAAGTCCCAAACCCTAAACCCTAAACCCTGAACCCTAAACCCTAAACCCTAAACCTTAGGGTTCTGAAGGCTGCAAGGTTTGGGGGTCTCGGGTGTTGGGACGTTTTGCTTGTAGAGCTTTACGAGATTAGGGCTTCCTTTTCCTTTTTTCCGTGAACCCCCTTTTTTGGGTTGAGACTTGAGGGCTTTTTGGGGCTTAAGGTTTTGTGGGGGGTGGGGGGCGGGGGGGGGGGGAACAAACCAGAACTGTTTGAGGGGTGCGCGGTGGGCTCCGCAATTAATTCGTGCGGGGCGCCTTTGAAAATTAATTTCGGGCCTCGCCGTCCCTTTAAACTCATCCAAACTCATACGTTTTGAAATCATATAAGCCCACCGTGTACAGAGAGCCAAAACCAGCCTCGACTGTTCGGGGGCGGGGGGGGGGGGGGGGGGGGAGCGACGGAAAACTAAAGCAGGTGCAACATTAAGGGATTCAATTAACACAATATTAGAATATAGCTTCATATGAAATGAAATGAAATGATATGATGAAGTATAATCATATGTATCAATATGTGTATGCGTATATATATATATATGCTAGACAGAAGGGGGTTTCGTGAAGTCACCCTTCATACCCCCTCGACATGCACTGCCGCAAGAGCAAGGCGGCGACTCTGCGGCCTCCATGGGGACCCGGCTGAGATCTAAGAGGAAGCTCCAGATGTCTTGTTCCGGAGCCATGTCGTCCTCCGGTGCTGATGGCTCGGCTTAGGGTTTAGGGTTTAGGGTTTAGGGTTTAGGGTTTATAAGGGTTTAGGGTTTAGGGTTTAGGGTTTAGGGTTTGAGGGTTTAGGGTTTAGGGGTTTAGGGTTTAGGGTTTAGGGTTTAGGGTTTAGGGTTTAGGGTTTAGGGTTTAGGGTTTAGGGTTTAGGGTTTAGGGTTTAGGTTTAGGGTTTAGGGTTTAGGGTTTAGGGTTTAGGGTTTAGGGGGTTTAGGGTTTAGGGTTTAGGGTTTAGGGTTTAGGGTTTAGGGTTTAGGGTTTAGGGTTAGGGTTTAGGGTTTAGGGTTTAGGGTTTAGGATTTAGGGTTTAGGGTTGTTTTTTAGGCTTTAGGGTTTAGGGTTTAGGGTTTAGGGTTTACACAACACAGGGCTTCACGGGGTCACTCAGACAAGCTGAAAGGCAAAACACATCAAAACACCCACGCTCGCGGCTCTGGGCTACGGAGGCTGTCCACATTCAACCACAACGTCTCGTGGTTGGAGAGGAGGAACTCGAGTTGCTTGCCATCCTGCCAGGGCTTTAGGGTTTAGGGTTTGAGGTTTAGGGTTTAGGGTTTAGGGTTTGAGGTTTAGGGCTTAGGGCTTTTAAGGAGAGTCCCCGGACAGCCAGGCATCGCGCCCCTGCAGGCCGGTGCAGGCAGTACACACGCGGAGTTCAAAGTGCCCTGAACACTCAACCCTGAACCCTAAACCCTAAACCCTAAACCCTAAACCCTAAACCCCGAAGCCTATGTGGCATGACACAAGGTGGTGCCTTGTAGATGGACTTGAGCCTGGTGGAGCTCAGAAGCCCAAGCATTCGAGCCTGTTCAGACCTCGGTTCAGGGTTCTAGTCGGGTAGTTCTCTACTTTAGGGTCCCTCTTTGGTTGCCCCAAAACAGTGCAGCCCCTAATTTAGAGAACTCCCCCTGGTAGCCGCCAGTTTGTGAAGAAGCTTTCCTGGTCATTTCTAGCCTCAAGATGGGAGGTAGGTTCCCTCGCTGTAAATGAGGTACCTGATTCAAAACCCTAAGCCTCAAACACAAAAGCCCCTAAAGCCTTGCAGCCGGGTCCAAGGCCTGAACCCTAAACCCCAAAACCAAAACCCTAGATCCTAAAACCCTAAAATACCTTCAACCCCAAAGCCCCCAAACCCCACTAAACCCCAAAATCGAAAATCCCAAAAACCCAAAAACCCAAAAACCCAAAAACTCTAAACCCAAAAACTCTAAATCCCAGAAAACCAAACACCCCAAAACCCTAAACCCTATGAACCCTATAAACCTTAAAACCCCTATAAACCCTATGAACCCTATAACCCTGGAAACCCTGCAAACCCTACATACCCTATAAACTCTATAAACCCTGCAAACCCTAACACCCCTAAACCCTAAAGCCCTAACCCTAAACCCTAATAAACCCTAGACCCTAAACCTCTATGAACCCCATAAACTCTATAAAGCCTATAAACCCATGAAACCCTAAACCCCCCCCCCCCCCCCCCCCCAAAAAAAAAAAAAAGAACTCCAAAATCCCCAAAGCCGCAAATCCCCAAAAACCCCCCACCCCCCCCCCCCCCCCCAAAAAAAAAAAAAAAAAACAAACAAAACAACCTACCAAACCCAAAACCCGAGAAAAAAACACAAAAACTAAAAAGCGTCCAGCTGGGCCAAGGCCATCGGACCAGGGCCAGTCATCATGCGGACATCCTCTTTGCCAAACTCCTGGCTTTTTGAAACAACACAGGGGTCTAGGTTTAGTGTTTTGGGGTTTGTTTGTTAGGGTTTTTAGTTGTGGGTTTCGGTTTTGTAAGGTAGATTTCTTCAGGCCCTGGCTCCGCTCCAAAGCTTCCCAAGACACACAAACCCCCCAGACACCTCAGCCAATCTCACCCTAACCCTAAACCCTAAACCCTAAACCCTAACCCTGAACCCACCCTAACCCTAAAGCCCCTGCCTCGAGACCAGAGACCCCGGCGTTCGCCCAAGCAAAGGCCTGCCAGCCGACTCAGATTTAGACAGCGCTGATTTGATTTGGGGTTTTAGTTTAGGTTTGGGTTTTAGGGTTTAGGGTTTAGGTTTAGGGTTTGGGTTTAGGGTTGAGGGTTTGAGGGTTGATGTTTGAGGGTTTTCGGGTTTAGGGTTTGGAGGTGCCGTCTACAAAATGCTCATTTCTATGGCTTAGCTTAGTCGGGTTGCTAGAGGGATCAGGGCCCAGAGACAGTGCTAATTAAGATGACCCCAAATCACCCTCCCATTCCACACACACACCCCCCCCACCCCTAAACCCTAAACCCTAAACCCTAAACCGCCTAAACCCTAAACCCAAAACCCTAAACCCAAAGAACCCCGTCGCAGCTTCCCACCGCACCTTCGCTGCCTCCAGGTCTTCGAGGCCAGTGAGCTGCCGCAGAAAGATCCACACATCCTGGAGAGCCCGTAAACACTCAGGGGGCTTTCGGGCTCCAAAACCTAAACCCTAAACCCTAAACCCTAAACCCTAAGCCCTAAGCCCTAAGCCCTAAGCCCTAAGCCCTAAGCCCTAAGCCCTAAACCCTAAACCCTAAACCCTAAACCCTAAACCCTAAACCCTAACCCCAAACCGGCCGCCCTAAAGCCTAAGGGCTTGAGACATTTGGGGAGTGAGGCGCTTAGGGTCGTAGGGCCTCAGGCTTCGCAGGGTTTAGGTGGTGGAGTTTGGGTTCAGGGCTGATGGGTTCTGATGCACGTTGGGAAGTTTTTTTTGGGGGGGGGGGGGGGTTAGGCTTTAGGGCCTCAGGGTATGGGGTTTCAGGGTTTCGGCGTTTTTTTCGGGAGTTCGGGATTTCGGGTTTCAGGGTTTTGGGCTTAGGGTTTGGTACCCAAGTGCCCTCATACTTTTGGGGGTCCCTTCCTGCGAGATCTCTCTATAAGGGGTTCTACTAGAATGAGCTTTTTACTTGGGATGTTCCCCCAGTCCTTAATGGGGATTCTAGTACCCCCAACGCTCATCCCTATTGAGGACTGCTAGTATCGGAGAACATCCCAATGTATAACCCTCAAGCTTTCAACAGTACTTTAGGGTGACCCGCGGCCCTCCCTACACCCTGTATTGCGGGGTGCAAGGAGGGAGCCCTCGAAGAGACCCTTCATCCTATTCTCCTATATGAGCCCTCTTGCATACGTTCTATATAGGGACACCTATAAGTAAACCCTAAACCCCAAACCCTAAACCCCAAACCCTAATCCCCAAGCCATAAAGCCCAAGCCCTACTCCCCAAGCCCCAAACCCCAAAACCGAATCCCCATAATAAGCCCTTAACCCCAAACTCCAAACCCTAATCCGCATAAACCCTAAACCCTAAACCCTAAACCCTAAACCCTAAACCCTAAACCCTAAACCCTAAACCCTGACAGCAGATCTGGGCCTCCTCCTCTTTGGCGTCGTGCAAGCCGAGGTGCAGGCGTTCTTGGAGGGCTTTGCGGGGTTTAGGGTTTAGGGTTTAGGGTTTAAGGTTTAGGGTTCAGGGTTTAGGGTTTAGGGTTTAGGGTTTAGGGTTTAGGGTTTAGGGTTTAGGGGTGGAGGGGCTTCGGGTTTGGGGTTGAGGGGGCTGCCGGCACCCGAACAAAGTTCGTTAGTTTTGCTTGAGGGGTTACGGGGTCTAGGGTTTAGGGGTAACCAGAAAACCCTAAAACCACCTTGCTTTTCGCCAGGAGCTGCATCAAGCCGTAAACCTTGCAAACCTGCAACCCTAAGCCAAAACCTAAATTTTTGAAAACCTTCAACTCTAAACCCTAAATCCTGAAAAACATTGAACCCTCAACCCTGAAAACCTGCAAACGGAAAAACCTTAAAGTCCTAAATCCTGAGAAGCTTAAACCCTGAACCCTGAAAACCCTGAACCCTGAAAACGTGAAACCTTGAAAACCCTAAACCCTGAAAACCCTAAACCCTAAGCCGTCAAAACCCTAAATCCTAAACCCTAAACCGTCAAAACCCGAAACCCTAAACCCTGAAAACCCTAAACCCTAAACCCTAAATCCGCAGCCAAAGCCCTACACCATAAACCCTAAACCGTCAAAACCCGAAACCCTAAACCCTGAAAACCCTAAACCCTAAACCCTAAACCCAAAGCCAAAACCCTAAACCCTAAACCCTAAACCCTAGAATCCTGTGCACCCCCTCAAATCGCCCTGCGGACGCCAAGTGGCTCCCCGTCTCCGGGAAGTACCACTCGTAGGACCTCTTTTCCACAGGCGCCTCGGCTTAGGGGGGTTTAGGGTTCAGGGTTGAGGGTTAGGGTTGAGGGTTTAGGGCTAGCGTTTAGGGTTTAGGGTTTAGGGTTTAGGGTTTAGGGCCTTGAAGAACGGGTGAGAAATGCTTTCTTAACAAAAGGTTGCCTGAGCCCAGGCTTCAAGGCATAGGTCGTTTTAAGCTCCGCTCCTTGGACGTGGTTATGAAGCTTCGTCTGAAGGATGGCTCGGGCATGTTCGCATCTTGCAGCCGGCAGGGTTTAGGGTTTAGGGTTTAGGGCTTAGGGCTTAGGGCTTAGGGCTTAGGGGCTTAGGGCTTAGGGTTTAGGGTTTAGGGTTTTGTATACCAGCAGGCCCCCACAAAGCGCCGCCTCCGGCTTGTACTTCTGTGTCCACTGGGAGCAGACAGGCGACCTGCCATTGGCAGCTCCCCATGAAGTAGCAAGAAGGAGATCCCTAAACCCTAAACCCTAAACCCTAAACCCTAAACCCTAAACCCTAAACCCTAAGGGCTTGAGGTTCCCAGGGGCTCACGGCACAGAATCTCGGTGTTTTGACAGACTTCCATAGCCATGCTGCCAGGGCGCGTCACTTTGATGCCGTGTGCCCGGGCCTGGCATTGTGGCTTTGGGTTTAGGGTTTAGGGTTTAGGGTTTAGGGTTTAGGGTTTAGGGTTTAGGGTTTAGGGTTTAGGGTTTAGGGGTTGTGGTTTCAGGGAGTAAACGGCAGTAGCATGCCAAACAAGATCACTACGGTGCCATTTCCAGTGAAGGGCTCACATCATGGTCCTACAAACGGCCGCAAGAAAAAAGAACCTGCTCAAGAGACCTCGGCATCTTCTGCCGTGTTCACAGCACCGTACTAACAGCCAAAATGTATCCTTTGCTCCCCCCCCCCCTTCTTTCGCGCCTTTTGAGAGAACCGGATGTAGAAGGAATTGATGAGCAAGGTCTCCTCCCAGCACCACCCTAAATCCTAAACCCTAAACCCTATTGACCGACCCACAAATCGTAGCAAGAGACCAAGACCACATAAAACGTCTTGCAACCTCCGCGGTGCCTCTGAAGACAAGATCCTTGGACATTTCCCCCTGTAGCGCCTCAGCATAGCTGGCAGATGCCCTCAACCCTAAATAATCCTCCCCAGTGGAGCTTGAAGCACCACTATCGCCTTTGCACCCTCCAGCATCTGAGTTTCCAAAACATTGCGGTTCCCCCTTGAATTGCACCGCCAAGATATACAGCCACATGCCCCCCACCCCCTCCCGAAAGGGACCCATGAGCCCCCACATCATCTGGACCCTACAAAACCCCGTAAACCCCTGCGAGGGCATCACACATCGCGGATTCTCTCCACGAAGTCCATCTTCGTGAAGATGGTCCTCTGCAACATTCGGGTTTTGAGCATGACTCTTCCCAAGCCCACCACCCGCACATGGACCCTGGTTCTATATATGTTCTATATGGGCGGGGGGGGTGTTTAGAAGGTTTTGAAGCAGGGATGGACCAGGGTTCTTTTAGGGACGGGTATTGTGAACAGCTACCACAATCAGCATTGGCTATTAGGAATTGTGCTCTCTAAAGGGCCTCTTCTTTTTGAAGGGTTAGAGTTTTGCATTTCAGCACTAAAGCATCTACAGGCCCGCTCCGGAAGGTCACGGCATTGACTGTGGCCGGAACTGGTTCGGGATTGGGGTCCTGCACGCGAGGTTCAGGGTTTAGCGTTGCCTCGACTTGCTATCGAACTCCACTGCCTGCCGCCCCTTTCCAGCAAACTCCAGGAATGAACTTTGGCCAAGGCGTGCGGAGCGGTCCTCTTTCAATTCCTGCACAAAACGTCACGCGATGAACATCAGTAGATGCAGATAGCTGAGGTTGACGCCAACCCACATCCACACACATGGGTGGTTGTCAAAATCATGGTCCCTTTTGGGGTACCCTAAATATTAGGTGCCGTATTCTTTGAGGGATCCAAAAAGGGACCCTAATGTTGACAGCAACCCACATGCACTGCCATAACGCAACTTTTTTCTCCGCAGCAGAACAGCTGGCAGCGTTGTCGCATGCCATCTGCTTCGACAGGGCCAGCCACACGGGGTCCTTTCGAGCGCGAGCAAGCCGGCACACACTCTGATCCTGAGAGATCTTGCACATTGCGCTTGCAACCTAAACCCTAAACCCTAAACCCTAAACCCTAAACCCTAAACCCTAAACTTTCCTCCAACCCCTTCTGCGTCCTCGTCATCCGAGTCGCTGAGATCATCCAGCTGGTGGCTGTCGCCATAATCGAAGCACAGTTCTTCGCCGGCCTGGAATTCTTTGGGGTTTAGGGGTTTAGGGTTTAGGGTTAGGGGTTTAGGCTTTAGGGGTTTAGGGGTTTAGGGGTTTAGGGGTTTAGGGGTTTAGGGGTTTAGGGGTTTAGGGGTTTAGGGGTTTAGGGGTTTAGGGGTTTAGGGGTTTAGGGGTTTAGGGGTTTAGGGGTAGTTCAGGGTTTAGGGGTTTAGGGGTTTTAGGGGCTTAGGGGTTTAGGGGTTTAGGGGGCTTAGGGGCTTAGGGGTGCTTAGGGGTTTAGGGGTTTAGGGGTTTTGGGGTTTAGGGGCTTAGGGGTTTAGGGGTTTGGGGGTTTAGGGGCTTAGGGGTTTAGGGGTTTGGGGGTTTAGGGGTTTAGGGGTTTAGGGGTTTTAGGGGGCTTAGGGGCTTAGGGGTGTTTAGGGGCTTAGGGGCTTAGGGGTTTAGGGCTACTAAAGGGCGGCCCCTGATGCTGAGGGTACCACAAAAGGGACCATGATGTTGAGAACTGACGCCATGACCCGTGGCCTCCTGCTGGCCAGAACCCCATGCAGAACATTGTGCAAAAACTATACATCTGACCCCTAAAACCCGAAAACCCCGAAACCCCTAACACCCCGAAAGCCCTAAAAGCCCGAGAACCCCTAAAACCTTTCAAGTTTTGAAAAAAAAATCTAAGCCCCACAGCCCCGAAAGCCCTTAAACCCTCAACCTCTGAAACCCTAGAACCCCCGAGCCCGATGGATGACCCTGCGAGCACCCAAAAGTAACCCTGAAAAGCCCCCTCAACGCCCCTGAACGCACCCCTAAACCCCCTAAAGCCGAAGCCTAAACCCTAAACCCTAAACCCTAAACCCTAAACCCTAAACCCTAAACCCTAAACCCTAAACCCTAAACCCTAAACCCTAAACCCTAAACCCTAAACCCTAAACCCTAACCCCTAAACCCTAAACCCTAAACCCTAAACCCTAAACCCTAAACCCTAAACCCTAGCCTCGATGTCTCGGGCCGCAAGCAATTGCACGGCGCGCGGGCCCCGGCCCTGTGAGGGGTCGATGCGGACGCGAAGGTTCCTTGGCAGCACTCCGGCTTCGGGGAAGTAGGGTTTAGGGTTTAGGGTTTAGGGTTTAGGGTTCAGGGTTCAGGGTTTAGGGCTTAGAGTTAGGGGTTAGGGTTTAGGGTTTAGGGTTCGGAAGGCTCCTGCTGGATTCGGGCCCCGTGTGAGCAGCTTCAAAGAAAGCATCCCCTCTGAAGCCTATTTGATAAGAGGCTCTCAGGGAGTACGTACCCTAGTGCACAACAGCTAACACCGCAGCCCCAAACCTCTAACCCCTAAGCCCCTAAGCCCTAAACACTAGACCCTAAGCCTAAAGCCTAAACCCTAAACCCCTAAACCCTAAACACTAGACCCAATCCCCCGTCCCCCGAAGCCCACCCCCACCCGAACCACTTCAGCGAGCCGACTGCTGACAAGCAGCGGTTTCAGCGCGGTTCCAGCCTCGTCCACGCATCCTCACACCACCCTCCCAGACCCGGGTTTAGGGTTGAGGGGTTCAGGCGTTTAGGCGTTCAGGGTTTCGGGGTTTAGGGGGTTTAGGGTTAGTAGGGTTGGCGGTTAGGGTTTAGGGGTTTGGGGGGTTTAGGAGGGTTAGGAGATTGGGTTAGGAAGGCTAGTGGGGTTGAGGGCTTCCAACGTTTCCCCCAATCTCCCCGAACAACACAGCATCGAACACAGGCACCTGCATTTTAAAGGTCTACTTTCAAAATTTTGGGTATGCTCTGGGAACGTTTGCTGCTGAGTCTAAAACTAGGGGCCGTTCATAATATATTACATTTTCCTGATATTTCTCTGTAAATTCACTTTTGCATATTCTCTACTTAACCCTGAACCCTAAACAGCCTAAACCCTAAACCCTAAACTCTATATAAGCCCCAAAACCATAAAGACTTTCGTCCACCTTGCCTGCGGGGCTGTTGAGGTATCCGGCCACATGCGCAGCAAAGGGCCGGCCGCCACCGGTGCCGCCATCGATGGCCCACTCCTAGGCTCAGAGATGTTGCCCGGTTTAGGGTTTAGGGTTTAGGGTTTGGGGTTTGGGGTTTAGGGTTAAGGGTTAAGGGTTAAGGGTTTAAGGGTCATGGCCTTTGAGAGGGGTCTAGGGGGCTTTAAGGGTGGCGAGAAGGGGCTCTAAAGCCCTAAACCCTAAACCCTAAAACCCTAAACCCTAAACCCTAAACCCTAAACCCTAAACCCTAAACCTGGCAAGGGCCCTTATCAAGTGCGCGTGCCGCCGGGGTGCGGCGTCCATGGCGAAGTGGAAGCGCTGCGCTCTGCTGCCTCTGCGGAGGCACCGCCTTTCGGTGACCTTTCCGCGGTAGCACCTGGGCTGCGAACTTGAACCTACAAGACAGCCCCACTCTAGGGTTTAGGGCCTATATAGGGCTTAGTAGCAAGTACTTCCGACCCCTAGAGTAGATGCGGGTATAGGGCATGTGCCCTAAAGCCTACACCCTAAACCCTAAACCCTAAACCCCAAACATGGGAGTCCCAGGCTTTTGTGGCGAGATGCACCACCAGGTCGCCCTCCCGACGCGGGGGAAGCGTGAAGACGGAGTGGCCCTCTCCAGATGTGGGTTAGGGTTTAGGGTGCCCCATTCATGCCCCAAACAGAAGAAGGGGCCCCCGAGAAGGGTACCCCTCTATTCGGAAACCCCCATGTCTGCAGTGAGAGGACGCGAAGGCGCGCACCTTCACCCGCTTCCCGTCTTCACGGCGCGCGAGTGGCGAGCCCACTCTCAATCTTGCTCTACGCGCTTGCCTGGCAACTGCCCCCCACGCACCCAAAGCGCAGAGCTGAAGTTCATCATACGCACCCATGTCCCCCCTCCCAGCCTCTGAATCCTCGATGCTACCCTCATCCAGCTATCACCTATGAGACAGTGACAGCAAGCAGCATGCCACTTGCACCCCAGATGCCAATATGTGGCTTTCCGGTACCTTTCCTGGGGTCCTTATGATACGGGCATCATACTTTTTGGGGCTCCATCTTAGGGGGACCCTTACTTCCGGAAACCCCCATATGCAGTGACTTGCCACCTGAAGCATCTTCACCCTCTTCTTCGGTTGATGAGCAAGGACGCACCTCCGCAGCAAGATGAGGCATGCTTAGGGTTTAGTGTTTAGGGTTTAGGGTTTAGGGTTTAGGGTTTAGGGTTTAGGGTTTAGGGTTTAGGGTTTAGGGTTTAGGGTTTAGGGTTTAGGGTTATTCGCACACAGCAAGGTGCACCACGAACTCGAGCAGTTCAGAAGTGCCAAAACAAACCAGGCGACTTAGCTCCGAAAGGACTGCGCGAAGCTATCGAAGTTGCTTGGAAGAGCAAGTCCATAGCCCGCCTCCTCGGCCCATGGCAGGTATTCATCCTCCTGCATCGTGACGTCTGAAGGGATCTACCCGAGACCCCAAACCCGTAGGGTCTAAGAGTCTAAACCCAGGGGCAAGGTGTTTGAAGTAGAGCCACGCGCCTGTGGACTCCCAGGAACACATAAAGCCCCAAAATCAGAGGTTCAGGGACCCCCCAAATACCCTAAAGCCCGAATACTCAACAAGCCCCCAAAACCCCAAAGCCCAACACAAAGCCCCAAAACACCTAACCCCTAGCCCCTAACCCCTAACCCCTAAACCCTAAACCCTAAACCCGAAACCCCAAAATTCAGAAGCCGCGTCCTTGCCATTTGCCAGCACCACTAGTGGCCGGTCGCCCGACTCGCTGTCGGGAGGCCTCGAGATTCACCAACGCGAGGTGCAAGAAAAGCAAGGGGCCTACTGTTAGGGGATAGGATTCGGGGGGTTTTTGGGGCTATCGACCCTCTGAATAAGGTCCCTGTTTAAGAGAGCCAGAAGAGGGTTAAGAAGGGGTTCCCTTTTAAGGGTCCCCCTTCTCCTACCTAGGAACTGTAGGGGCCTTAATATTTCTAGAATAGGGTTTTGGGGGTTGCTATAATATACTCATATAGGGACCCTAAGGGAATCTTAGTCGCACTTGTTCCAGCGCTTTTTTCTTGACCGTTGGTACGATATGTAGATATGGGCCATGACTGACGGTGGTACTATTGGTATTCACTTCGGCCGTAAACTTGTGAAACCCCAAAACCCTAAACTCTGTTGGGGTTGTGGGGGGTCGATGAACGGACATCAGGCGTTGTGGGTTTTAGGGTTTAGGGTTCGTTTTTGTTGGAGAAGGGGGGGGCGCTTTGGGGCGTTAGGTCTCTGGAGGGCTTAGTTGAAGAGCCTAAGGGCTTAGGTCTCTTGACCTCGCACCCCACAACGAGAAACCCTGTTGGGTTCAGGGCTCCAAACCCTAAACCCTTAACCCTAAACCTATGCACTCTGTACGCACCAGGGCACGCGAAGTCGATGGCCACCCCCTGGTCGTCGATCTTGACGTCCACACTTCGTAGGCCCTCCACCTCAGGCAGTCTGAACCCTGCAGGGTTTAGGGTTTGGGGTGAAACCTTAGTATCACAACATGCCTAGCTGGGTTTTGGGTCTAGGGTTGAGGGTGATGCTGATCGATCTATATAGGATCCTAGGCTTTTCGGGGGAAGACCTCTCTTCCTATACTTCTCCCT